TATATATATAAAATATTTTAAATAATAAAAGAATAATATAACATTATTATCCGCAAATATTACTTGCTATACTGACCGTACTACGGATAGTACTACGGATCTGATCCGCAATTATAACATTTCCACGTAGCGAGAAACATATTGTGATCCGTATAAATACAATAATTGAGAACATAAATGCAAAATTGTTGTTAAATTTTTTCATCTTCCTTTTCGTTTTTATTTAACGAGTGTATAAAGCCTCGTTATTTGGATCAGTATACAATTTTCACAAATAAGCGCGCAGAGATTTCAGACGAGCACGCGATATGCAGTTGATTTGAAAAAATACAATGCGAACGATGACAGAGATGTCCCCGCGACTTACAGGACGTGATTATGCACGAGTGGCATCTATAGAATGCGACTCTCCTCTTTTTTATACATATCTTTTTATATATATATACACACATCAATACAGCAAACATTCACTTGCACTTTTGCTGGCCTGTTACGTATGTACGTACGTATAATAGTCTATTGCCTCAATCGTCAACCGGTGCGCCGCGCGATCGAGATTGCGCGATCAGCCGCATATTGTGAATGATTGTAAACTCGCAATATTGTTAAAAGATATACTATACATGTTCGATCTTTGCTATGTAGTAATATCTTTGCTATGTAGTAATATGATTGCCAGTCTTGCCACTTAGGCCGCCAGCAATCAAATTTACATTGTAATTTTATCACGATCACGACGCTTTCATAATTTTCATCTAAAAAAATATCTAAATAATATATGAAAGAAATAATATTAAATAGTAATCAATTAATTAATTTTCATTATAGAATATTATTAAGAATTTCATTAAGAAAATTTGAAAGTCTCTCCGCGATCGTATAAAAAAACACATCAAGTGCACAGTACATGATCCAAAGGATAAAAAATACGCAAATATATAGTATATATTTTATACTATATATATATGTGTGTATGTGTGTGTGTGTGTGTGTGTGTGTGTGTGTGTGTGTGTGTGTGTGTGTGTGTGTACGTGCGCGCGCGCGCGCACGTGTGTCACTCAATGTATAATACATCACTGTATCGAAACAAGTGCCGCTTTAACTTACTTATTAAGTTAAATCATCTTTCAATGGATCATTCAGCACTTACGTGCTCGGGATTTTCACAAGTGACTGTAGCGATAAAATGTATAAAATATAAATCATGAGAAAATTAACTCGTATTTTTCTCTATAAAAGATTATATAATGGTTTAATTTGTTTCCTTTGTATTTGCAATTGTGTCTTTATATTTGTCGAAAATGTTTCCAAGTGCAGATCTATTATGCAAATACTTTTACTTTACATACATGCGCAAAAATAATAGTCGTTCATGTATATAGTCGTTTAGATATTGAAGTAAAATCCGCACTTATATATTAAAACTGCAACTTTCAACAAATAATATAAAACTATGTACACACACACACACACACACACACACACACACACACACACACACACATCGATCGAGGATTGATATCATTCATTAATTCAACGGTTTACTTTATGGATAACAACTCGACTCACAGCAGATTCTGTCATGTGCTCATCTGTAAACTCATCTGTTTTTCCAATTATTCCCTAGTGGGAAAATTTTTACGAGAAACTACATTACAGATTGAGACATTAGGATCATCTTTAAAAATTCTTAGTTTCTTTGCAGATATTCGTAATAGCGTAGGCCACATAGAGTGTGGCGTTGTCTGTTTCGTGACACTATAGAGTCTGATACATGTATCATGAATTATTTGAAATTTATGGCAATCGATTTCTCTCTTCTGATATATTGTATCATGAACTTTTACGAAACATTTTTTTCCATAAAAACTCTACATGATAGATACAGTCCTTATACAGGGACCTATCAGAAGACGGAAAGAATGGAGAATTTCTTGATTTTTCAAACTCTACTTATTTCTTATTATGAATATCTACGAAAAACTAAGAATTTCTAAGATATCATGTAGTTTTCTATACTGTTTATCATGTTTATCATACTTTTTCATAAAAATCTTCTCATCAAGTTTACGAGAAATCGATTGCCACAAATTTCAAATAATGAAAATGTCCATTAAATAAAATAGATAAAATGAAGCATGAAAAA